GATGATGATGATGATGATGATGATGATGATGATGATGATGGAAATCCCAGGAGGGAAGAGGAGGAGAGGGGGGGACAAAGGAGGGAAAGGCGGAGGGGATGCGGTAGAAGTGGGAGAGAGAAGCGCACAGGAAAGGAAGGGGGGGTTGAAAAGCAGCAACACAGAAACGAGATGGTACAGAGTCAGCAGCAGGACAGGGGATCGGCTACGCATGCACCCGTTGCTGACTAGAGGAGAGGAATGGAGAACTTGTGTCATGAATTCATCAGACCTTCCTCGTCGTCGAAATCCAAGTTGGCAAGGCGGCGGGCAATCTTCAGTCCCTCGGTCTCCTCCGGCTCCGAGAAGAGCAAGAATTTTTCCTGGACCTGATGAGTAGATGAGCTTGTTGAAAGTTGTGCTCCTGCTACTTCCAACCCTCAAGTCGAGCGGTATCGCGCCGTCGTAAGTGACGTTGAGTAGACGAGGGTCGACTTGTCTCTGTAAGGGCATTCAAGTGAAGTCGACCGGAGGGATTGATACAAGGAAGGACTGATGTGATGGGGTAGAGAAGAAAAGACATGAAAGGAGAGGACAGGTCAGGACAGGTCAGGGCAGGGCAGGGCAGGACAGGGCAGGGCAGGGCAGGGCAGGGCAGGACAGGACAGGACAGGACAGGGCAGGGCAGGGCAGGGCAGGGCAGGGCAGGGCAGGGCAGGGCAGGGCAGGGCAGGGCAGGGCAGGGTAATCGATCACCTCAGCATTGTCAATGGACTCTTGATCCGTGAGGACGACATGGTTCAAGTACTTGGTCCCACAGACCTCGCAGTCGCCGAGGCTGACGGCAAGAGGCTTTGCATGCCACTGCAGCCGTAGTTCCTCTCTCTCCTCCATGACCTGCTGCTGCTGAGCCGCCGCCTCCAGCTTCCAGTGAAGCCGCTCAGTCAGCAGCGCCGTCAGCCTCTCCAGGAAGTCCTCCTGCAGCATCCTTTGCTCCACCTCGTACGAGTACACAGCATCGATGCTGCACCAGACTGTGATCTTGAGCAGGCAGTGATTCTGCAATTGCCCATACCCGTCCACCCACTTCTCCCCGTACGCGTCCATAACCTTGGCCAGCTCTACCCGCATGTCCTCCATCCCTATCACCCGCCCCGTGCTGTTCTCCAGAATGTCCCGCACGCCGGCACCGAAGAAGAAGTTCCCCGGCAGGTTCACGTCAAGGACGCAGTCGACGTTGATCCCTGCCCGCGACCAAGTGTCCTGCCGCGCAAACCTGAACCTTCCCTTCTCTCCCCTCCGGCAGAATTCTCCCAGCTTCATTCCCCCGATCCCTAGAGTGTTCGCTCGCAGGAGCATGCACGGCTTGTCCAGGTGGAAGTTGGTCCAGACCCCGTACGTCCTGTTGTCTGAGCATGCGACAGGCTGACGGTACAGCAGCGATACCTCGTCGGGTTTCGGCTGCCCCTTGCTGTCCGTGTACCTCTCATGGTGGAGCTTGGCGATGAGCAGGAGAGTATCTGCCATGAGCAGCGGCCGCCTCCCGCTCCCCCCATCGCGCGTGTCGTTCCTCCGCCATTCCTCGATGAGTTCGCTCTTGTTCAGGATGTCGTAAGTCTCCTTAGTGATCCTCTTGTGCCAGTCTGATCCTCCTCGCAACCCGAGGGTCCAACTTGCATCGCTCACGCCCGTCGGCCGATCCTCGTGCCATGTGCATCCTGGCATGTCGGAGCTCGTGGCGGTGTGAGGAGGGAGGAGGAAGAGGTACAGCGGACTTAGCGCCATGGCCTGCCAGAACGAGCGCGAGAGCGTGGCAGCAGGCATGACGGCGAAGCTTCAAGGAAGCAGGGAGGTCACCATCAGTCGTCCTGCCTCGTACGTCAGTACAAGTCCGATTCCTCCCTATCCTGCCTGCCCACCCATCTCCTGCCCGGTCCTGCCCTGCTCCCTTCTCTCTTCTCCCTTCTCCCCTGCCCTTCTCCCCTCCCCTCCCCTTCTCCCTTCTCCTCCCCTCCTGTCCCCTCCCCACCCCTCCCCTTCTCCCTCCCTTCTCCTTCTCCCTTCTCCCCTCCCCTTCTCCCTTCTCCCCTGCCCTGTCCTCCCCCTTCTCCCTCTCGATCCGTCTCCCTCCTAAATCCCCTCCACTTCAATTCGCCTAGTTCGCCTTATGGCCTTCTTCTCTCCTTTCCTGCTCTC